CAAAATAATAAAAGTTCTTCTCAGCAGAATTGAAAATGCTAATATCCTCCAGAAATTCAAAAAGTTGTAGTAAAAAGGGTCTCAACCAAAAAACTATTCAAGACTGGAAGGTAGGAGATAACTGCAAATGAAAAATCACAAGAGAAGAAAATATGAGCACAGCTTTCCTCTTCCCGTAGACAAAGAGGGCAAATAGGGTGTATTAAAATATTCCTCTTGGCTAAAACATCAGCCATTTTTAACCCATTCTGAAGCAAAAGCCAAACATAAGAAGAGTATCTTAGTGCAGTCTGTTTATGCAAAACATATTTAGACCCCTTCACCTTTTTCAATCCATCAAAATAATGCAACCTAAAGGTCTTAAATGAAGGTTTATCCTTGTTTCTCCAAACTAAAGGAGTAGAGGAGGAGCCCAAAAGAGGGATAGCATAAATAAATTGTTTCACCCAACCAGGAAGACAATCTGATAACCACAAGGAATCCCCATTAACATAAAATCGAACGCAATCATGTAACCCCGGGAGATGGGATATAAAATCAGCCAACATCTTCCCGTCTACCCAAGGGTCAAAAAAAAAAAAAAGATAATAAGCAACTGTCAGCATTAACAGTAAATTTAATATCATCTTTGATTTTGCCAGCAACATTATGAATGAATTTCCAGAATTTAGAAGTTTATTGAGGAGTGGGCTTCCATGATGAAGTGTATGTAAAACCTAAACCAATCAAAAACCAGTGAATTAGTGGTATAAATTCTCTAAATAAAGGAGCAGCCAAACCCGTGAGAGAGTGATTTAATATATGAGATCCTAAGACCACCATAACAAGTAGGCAGGCAAGTGTTGTGCCAAGCAATCAGATGTAACTTCCTACCCTCAGAAGAGCCATGATATAGGAATCTAGAACATAATCTATCAATGAATTTAATACAGGATTTAGGTAAAATTACCCCCCTAATCCAATAAGCAAGAGTATTGGCAAGGGTAAATCTTAAGAAATTGATGTGACATGCAAAATAAAGAAATTTGACTTTCCAACCAATAAGTAGAGTAGAAATTCTACTCATTAGTGGTTTGAAGTGAGAAGAATTAAGCTTTTTGGTGGAGATGGGAAGACCCAAATATTTAAATGAGTGTTCAGTGGGATTAAAGTAATGAATATTTGAGATATCATTACCCAAAGGAGTGTTCTTAGAGAATAAAATGAAACACTTGGCATTTATTAATGTAGAGGTCTGAACCGATAGCAAACTCCTTTAAGAACTTAGATAACTCCAAGGCATTGGAAGTAGAGGCAGCTCCAAAAACCAACACATCATCCGTATATAAAAGGTGGTTAAGGGAAGTAGAGGCAGAAGGAATACCCATAAATGGCCTAGCATCCAAAGACAGGAAAAAGCATCCATGACAATAGCAAATAAAAGAGGGAACAAGGGGCAACCTTGTCTCAAACCGATAGTGGAAGTGAAAAATCCCTCAAGAGCACCATTGATACAAACAGAGAATGGGACATCATAAACTCAACTCTTAATCCATGAAATGAACCTATCCGGGAAGCCTTTCACCCACAATCTGGAGATGAGAAAATCCTAAGAGACAGAGTCAAAAGCTTTGCGAATGTCCAATTTAGCATAGCAGAACTTCATGGAGGAATATCCGTTAAAGTCATTTAAAATCTCATTAGCTAAAATGATGTTGTCCATGGAAATTCTTTTAGGGATGAACCCAGCTTTGCTTTTATGAATAATGTGAGGCATGATGCTTCTCAAATGATTTTCAAGAATCTTTGCAATGATCTTATAAAAGACATTACAAAGCGAAATCATCCGGTAGTCAGAGATGTTGGTAGCATGATGGTACTTGGGAATGAGGGTGATAGTAGTGGCTTTAGCACATATAGGGAAATGACCAACAGAGAAGAAATTTTAACATCATTAATCACGTAGTGTCCAATGACCTCCCAAGATCCCTTGTAGAACTTCAAAGTGAAACAGTCCAACCCTGGAGAAGAAGCAGAGCAAAAACCACTTATTTAATCTCAGTGTCGGTGATAGGGACAACTAAAGGAGCAATAAGATGGGTAGGGATAGAGTCAACATAAGAAAAAGAGAGCTCAGGGATATCAATTTGTTTCAGAGGATTATAAAGTTTTATGAAATGCTCTATAATGGCCTTAGCAATCTCAGGAGGGGAGGAGAAATGACCCTCATTAGTAGAAATTTCTTTGATCTAGAAGAATTGGCTCTAGTTTTAATGTGGGCATACAGAAACCCCAAATCATCATCCCCATTATGTAGCCACTTTGCCTTAGCCCATTGATTGATCCAGGAACTCCAAGCCCCATGCAAAATAGAGATGTTGGCATTAATATCCTTTAGGGATGCATTTAGGTGGTAATCTAGAGGGTTGCATTGAATGAGATCCAAACAATCCTTTTTCTTATGGCAAAGATCCAATAGTCTAGATTTGATGAAGTGATCATGAGCCCAATTCTTCATTTTTAATTGCAACTTGAGAGCCGTAAGCTTGCCATAAAGATTTGAAATAGGACTACCATCATGATGAGCGGCAAAAGCGTAGATAAAGCATCCCAAAATCCATCCATCTTGATCCAAAAATTTGTAAAATGGAATCTGCTAACATATAATGAATTATCATCAGATTTAAGTAGTAAAGGAGAGTGGTCCAAGCAATTAGGAGGGACCACATTGTAGTAGGAAAAAGGAAAGCTATCAAGCCACTTTTGATTTTTTTTGTCCTACTTAATATGGATATGGTCATCCACACGCCCATTGAACCAAGTATATCTCAAACTAGTTGACTTTAAAACACCCAACCATTCGATTCTCCCATTATGCTATAATGCGTCGGGACACTACCCGACTTTTCTTTAGGATCTCAAAAGCAATTGAAATCTCCCATAACAATCCAAGGGGAGGAGATAGAGTCAGCTAGAGCCAATAGATGGTGCCACATAGGGACTCTATCAGTAGGGGAATTTGTAGCATAAACAACAGAAATAAGGATGGGAGGGGAAGCTCCGAAAAGGAGAGTACCATGGATCAATTGGGAATTAGAGAGAATTGGGTTAAAGGTGATAGAAGAGGAGTTCCACTTTAGCTAGATCCTCCCAGGGGAAGAGGAGTTGAAATTGTTACAACTATGCTCATTGGAGAAGATTTGATGGGTATTGATGAACCAAGGGCTAGTGAGGGAGGAAGGAGAAACTTTAGCTTCAAGGATGCAAATCATGTCAAGATGATAAGAGGCAACCAAGTTCTTACTAGCTAGAACTTTTTCAGGTTTATTAAAACCACGAATGTTCTAGAAGCCAATAGAAGGCAGAATCATTTAGACTTTGAGGGGTGGTGTGCTTTCTTGACACCTTTGGCTCTAGTGGACTTAGCAGGTTAGGATTTTTTAGAATGAACCATGTCAGCGATGCCATTAAGTTGAGGCCTAGAAGAGGATCACTCAACCTGTAAACTGTGATCTAACTGATCCTCCAACTGTAGGATAGAGAATTTGTTGGGAGAAGTTAAAACCTTGTTATTCTGCTAGCTTCATTCAAAGGAAGAAATAAAAGCACTTTGAGGGGAGTTAGTGTGGCTATTATCAGCGGAGGTGGCAGAAATTTGATCTGATAATAAGACATCATCAAGAGGAAAATTTAAGTTTGGGATTAGGTCCTCAATATGAGCATCTACCATAGGGATAGAGGGAGGTGGGAGCGGTTGAGGGTTATCTGGGGGAGTGACCTTGGCAGAGGAGGGATCGAGAGTAGGGATGGTGATGGTGGCAATATAGGGGTTGATATTAGGGGTTGGTATATTGGCGTTGGCAAGGATGATAGATGAGGGTAGGAGAGCCGAAGTCTTTGGGGGAAGCTGCGGGTTTGTATAGGCATTCCTGGGGTTTGGGCTCCTCCCCCAGTTTTGAGGCCTAAGCGGGGGTTTGGGCTCAGGGTTTTTGTGGCACAGATTAGAGGGGTAGATAAGGGATCCACATCCAGCACACGGAACGAGTTTCCAGTCGTATAAGTCTTTTATTGACATTTCATCATCATCCATTGAAATAGGAATTTCATCCAGAAAAGAAGATTCATTGCTAACCATAACACAAACACTGGCAAAAGTTAAATGAGTTTTTCACGCCGTCAGAGAATCCACCGCCAGAGGATGATCGACAAAACTGACAATTTTAGAGATGCACAAGGGATTCCACACAGCTAACAGAAGATCAACAATCTTAATCCAAATGGGTATAGAGTTGCATTCATCCTTCTTAGGTTTAAATTTTGGAGTCCACTTTTGTAGAATGAACGGACTCCCGAAGAAGAACTACGGGCCACCTGTCCAAGCTACCTCAAAATCTTCGGGAGAAGAAAATTTAAACAAAAAAGCCATCATTCAGAGATAAGAGTTCAACTGAAACTTTGATGGACCTAACCTTTTTTATCGCATTTTGCAAACTCAAGTATGTCGGACAAGGGCCAACCGAGTATCCAACCAGCGAAAGGCTCCAATTTGGCACGCCAAGGTCCAAGTCTTCAGCAGAGAAGGGCACCCTAGCAGGAGGGTTGATGAAGGAAACAACAAAGTTACTCGTTAACGGGTCATGGTTAGTGAGGTTTGAGATGAAATTGAGAGGAGACGGGCTAGAGGTTGATGGGCCAGTAGCTGAGCGTGCCACCGAACCAGGGAGGGGGTGGGGGGGGGGGGGGGGGTGGGGGGGGGGTGGTGAATCATTTAGGTAAGAGGAGGAGGAAGCCATGTGAAGGAGAGGGACTCCTCCCCACCAAGGAGGAGGAGCGAAAACGGAGGGAGGCACAAAAGCTAGGGTTGCGACGAAACCCTAGCAGAGCTCTTTCTTTTACTGCTTGCTTTTTCAAGATAAAAATATATTTACCTCTCCATATTTTTTTCTCAGAAAGTAAAAACAACCCATGTATTTCTTTACTTTCGAATATTTTTAGCCTATAAACACAAATTTAGTGTGGAGCCGCAAAATTGACTCTGAAAACCTAAGCTTCATTTCCAGTCTCTTCAAAGAATCATAGTTGAAAAAATACATATCAACATCCGGATTTTTGGTCGGGAGGGTTTTTCTTTGTTTCGCTTATTCTTATGATCCTGCGGTCCAAGAGAATCGAACTTCGTGCAGGATTTCTTTGCCGGAACTTGGAATCTGAGTTTTTATACGCTTTTTGATAAGCTGTTTCCAACGGTGCAGTCCAACTCAACCGGAGAAGATGGTATGCCGCTTTCCCCTATAACTTTTTTCGCTTAGTGTATTGATTTTAGGTCTATCATCGGTTTTGTGTATTTGCCCGTTTTTTTCTCGTTAATCCAGTATTTTTTTCTACAGCTTCCTCTTTCTCTTTTGAAGACGGCGCTGGGGCATCCTATGGTGAGAACCTCAGGGGTTTCTAGGATCATTGAGGGTTTTCTAGGATCATTGATTTCCACTCTCAGTTTCGTGTTTTAATGTTGTTTTTGTTTGTGTTGCTGATTTCATTCTGGCACAGCTAGTCGAATTGAAGAACGGGGAAACTTATAACGGGCATCTGGTGAATTGTGATACTTGGATGAACATTCACCTCAGGGAGGTCATTTGCACCTCAAAGGTAATCAGTTTGTTTTTAAAGTCATGCAAATCCCCATCATCTTAATTTGATAATTCTTTTTGGTTTTGATGGATTGCAGGATGGAGACAGGTTTTGGAGGATGCCTGAGTGTTACATACGTGGGAACACAATCAAGTACCTTAGGGTTCCTGACGAGGTGTGTAGTGAACCTCAATAAGGACTGTACTTTAGTTTTATATTATCTTCTATTTTTGTTTTTTGCTCTTATAATTGCTGTTGTATTTGAATTGACCCTTTGATGATATCCGACCTTACTAACAAGTAATGTTTAGGTGAGAATTGGGGGTTCTAATGATGTATGAGTGAATTTGGAGAGCGAGGGCTCTATGTTTTTTTTTTTTTAAATAAAAATAAGCTATATGAATTATTGGGAGCTCAAAAGTTGTTGAGAGAGAGAAAAAATTTAGAAAGATCTAAAATCTCCAAAAGATCTAAAGTGTATTTCTTTATCCTTTATTTATAAGGTTTGAAGGGCTATAAAAAAAGATACAGGAAAGCTAAAAAATAGTACAAGGTATAACGTATGATGTGACTTATTATAGGTTATCATAGACACGGGGCCTAATTGATTGGCATTCATGTCAGCCTTTGTATATAATGTGACCCTCAGCCTCGAGGCGAGTCATTTATGTGAGTTTTCATGGGCGAGTCCACAGGGTCCAATGTATAGAGTGAGTCTATGAAAGTGAATCTTTTGGACATAATGGCGAGTCTATGGGGACAAGATTTAAAATCTTGGATGCAAAAGGATGAGTCCTCATGGGTGGAAGTAATTACGATTTGAGGAGTGCTTGAATCAAAGAAATGGTAGTTGAAATGTGTGTGTTTCCTATAACTAGATTTGGGATCGTGGGTGGATGTTCCTATCAAAATTAGCGACATCCAGACTTAGGTGAGTTTGGACAAGTCCTACTAGGAGGCTCAACAAAGATAATGAGGAGTCCGGCTTGCATGAGCGAGTCCTCTCATCATGGCCTCGTTGGTATAGTGGTCTACCTTCTAGTCACTATAATCAATATCTGAATTTGTTCATGGTTGATACTCAACCTTAATAACATGTATTCTCTTTTTAATTTTTGAAAATTATGCAATTAGCTTTAAACAAAGAAGGAAAATATACAAACTACTATGTGATAATTAACCTATGACAATCCTTGCTAATCAAGTCAATAAAACTTGACGGAAGAACATTCTCAATAAAAACATAATGAAATCACCTAAGAGTGCTTAATGAGAAAAGGAATCAACCACTCTATTGTTATTTCTAGAAATAAAATGAAAAATTATTTTTTTAAAAACTTCTAAAAAGAAAAATCCAAACTATGAATACTTTTATTCTGCTCTTTTGTTTTCAAAACTGAATTCCACAATATCTTGATAAAGTTAATATTATCACATTCAACGATGATTCCTTTCTTATCAATCATCTAATCTTGAATAACTTTTTTAAAATAAAAAATAGTAATAAATTCGAGAAGAGAAATATCCCAATGAAATAACTTCTTTCCATATGCTAATAAGAATCTTCCTTTATGGTCACGAAGCACACCTGCTATATTCACCAAGTTAGACTGCATCAGGGAAGCATCAACATTCAACTTGATCCAATATGTAGGAGAATACAAATTTTAGACAACACATAATGTTTGTTAATATCCCAGTTCTGGCAAATTGGAAATAATTGAGGTTAGATTGAATAAGAAAGAATATTATCTGCAATCATAACTGGAGACGGAACACTAGCTCCATGCTTAAAATTATTCCTTGCTTTCCAATTATGATAAATAGAAGATAAATAAATTCTGACAGCTCAAGAGTTTGAAGAAGCAAATTTCTCCAAATTATATACATAATGAGATAAATTGTTAAATTTAGTTAATTGAATTACCCATTGCTTAAACGTATCAAAAATTTCATTTAACTTATTGCAATGAATTGAAATATGATTAACATCTTCAATTTGCATACAAGATCTCATACATAAAACTGTATCCTATAAGTTTATATAATTCAACCAGAGATTAGTAGGAAGGGCATTGTTTTGTAGTCTCCACCAAAATAAAACATCCTTCGGCGTAAACTTTAATTTCATAATTCATTTAACGTTTGTTCCTTCATTATTTTGAATGATTGAAGCCTCAAAAGTCAACACAGTAACAAATTTGCCTGAATTCGAAACTAGAAGTTCTGGTTGATCTCTGTCTGAACCAGAAATAACAGAGATTTCATTGATAAGCTGAATAAAATCATCTAAAAAATAATTTTTTAACAAAGGCAGATTCCATCTACCATTTTTATCAAGAAGAATTGCCACATTTTTATTTTGAAGATCTGTCATATTACAAGAGGTTGGCTATTTATTTAAGCATCTGTCAAGAATCCAAATATCATTTGTGATATTGATACTTACACCATTGGAAACTTGCCATCTAATAATGAGTTATAGAAAACGAGCACCATCTTTTATAATATGCCAATCCGGAGAAGTGCATCTCTTCATTTCTTCTTTCCAGATATCATTGCCATATTTTGCCACAATAACTTTACTAAGAAAAGAATTCTTCTTTTGAATGAAGTTCCAAGCAATATGAGACCTTAACGACCCCAGTCTATCAGCAACACCTTGAATTCCAAGACCACCTTTATTAATAGGAGTACATAGTATATTCCAAGAAATATAATGCATTCCCTGTTTTGCTTGTTCCTTATGCCATAAAAAGTTTCTACAATATCTGTCAATATCATCTAAAATATCCTTTTGGATCAAAGAATGAGTCATAATAAATAAAGGAATTGAAGAAAAAGCAGTTTAATCAACCAAATTTTTCCTGTCAATGAAAGGGATCGAGATCCCCAAGTATTAAGTCTTTCTATTATCTTTTCCAGAACATTTTGATAATCAACATCTTTTAATCTTCTAAGAGCCATCTTAACTCCTAGATAAATAATTTCAGATGCAACACGTTATCCTAGAATTTTATTTAATCTTCTTTACTCATTATTCATAGGGCTCGGAGGGCTATAGGAAATGTTACACTTAAAAAAGGTAAAAAATAGTTCAAAATATAATTATATAACATATAATGTGACCTATTGTAAGATGTAATAAACACATGGTCTAGCTGATTGGTTTCGATATGGGGCTCTATTTAGTGTGGGCCTCGGCCTCAAGGTGAGTCTTTTCTGTAAGTCTTTGTGATCAAATTTTTGGGCGAGTCCTTGGGGTCCAATATATAGAATGAGTTTGTGAAGTCGAATCCTTTGGATGTGGTTGGGAGTTCATTGGGACAAGTGTAACTCTTGAAAACAAAAGGGTGAGTCCTAGGTGGAAGTGATCGCGAGCCGAGAACTACCTAAACCTAGGAAATCGCAACTACAACCTTTGAAGTGTGTGCATTTCTAATGCATGGATTAGGTATGTTAACGATAGTTGAGTGGCCTTGACCATGAATAATGACCATGGGCGAATGGTACTTGTTGAGATGAGTGACATCTAAGGCTCAAGTGAGTCTGGACGAGTCCTTTTGGTTGGCTTGTCAAAGATGAAGACTCCTCTGTCCAGCCTATCCAAGAGAGTCCTCATGTCATAACTTTTTGCTGAGAGAGTTCCTATGATTTTATGTAGTGCTGACCAATTTGTTGGCCGACGACTTTTCCTCATGATGTCTGCTCCTCTGGAAAGATGTGATTGTTCAGGTGGTGTCTCTTAGTGGGAACCTATCGAGTACCTGTGAAATGCCTACATGGGTATTTACAAGTATAAATGTACTTGTTTAATTTAATAGTAATTCTAGTATGACATTTGAAGCATTTTAAAAATATTGTTGATACCCATTTTTTTAGTCATTGACAATCATAATTATTAATGTTTTTTCAATTGAATAAGCATGTTTGATCATGCATTTTATTTGCCTTTGTTGACCTTAGATTGTTTGCTAATTATTATGGAAGTATTAAGATAATAAATTGAGGTGGATAGAAGTTTAACTATAATGAAATAATATGCAAACATTAAAGAAAAGTCATAATGTGTTAAAGGTTTGATTGACATTTGATATCATATTCATTCCTTCTATCTCTCTTTATCTCCATTTCAATATATCATCATTATCATCTGTTGCAATCCAGGATCGCGAGCTTATGATTTTGACGATAACAAACATTATTGGGTTTCTGTTTTGGTACTCCTGATATTATTATTGGATATTTGTTTTGTGCACACTAAACATTTTAGGTATACCGTACACCGTGCAAAAGACTTGACACAAGACTGGGTTGAATATGTTTGATGTTTTTGCAAGAGTCTATATTTTAATTTATTGATTTTTATATTTCTTGAGTCAAAAGTCTTGTAAAAGGTGTATGCTGGCTTAGCAACCGTGCTCACACTCACTGGGAAGGTAAATTAAGTGTTTTAATTTCTGTGAAGATCATCCTGTATGATCTGAGTAAAGTAGGGATTAATTAATTAAAAAATTTAATTAAGATAATCTAAATATATACTAAGCGTACTATACGATTCAAATAGTACATGATGATGAGTGGTTTCACTCTTAGAGATAAAATGTGAGACGAGTATATACGTGAAAGCTTGGAGTAGTCCTAATGGCGGATAAGATTAGAGAGAGTTTCCTTAGATGGTTTGGAAACATAAAATGTTAGCCTTCCAATGACCCTGTTAGAAGAGTAGATGTATTAAATTTTGCCTATGTTAAAAAAATGTTATGGTAGATTTTAAAAGATATGTCTATAAAATATTAGAAATGATATTTTTTTTATTAAATTTATATGAGAATTTGACTCTTAATAGGACATAATGGAGAAAAATGATTTATGTAGCTGACCCCATGTAGTGAGTGTGATAAAGGCTTTATGGTTTTGTTGCTAATTTGTAATATATCACACCCACTAAAATTTCATATGCCATTAGAAATTTTTGTCATGCTACTTTAAGAATATTATTTTATTAAAATTTTCTTCATTGTTCTTATATCCACTTATTTTAGTAGAGGTCAATTCAATTTATGTCATTTGTAAAAAGCATATAAAATATACCTAATTTTTCTTATTCTATATAAGCATTGCCAAAAATAATGTTAAAGGATATGGAGTTAATGTTAATATTTAGTGTAATTG